CGCTAAGCAGTACCCGATTGTCCTGGGTATTTATGAGAGATGTGAGAAATTCCGGTTTTATGGTCGATAGCTATACTACGTCGGAGTATCTCACGAATTCGGGCATTCGGAGGGAGAGAACCATCTACAGGTGGCAAATAACTTGATCTACAAGGGAAACAATACGCGAAAAATTACTGACCGCGGTGTTAACTTTGCACCCTTGGCTAGTGGACATGATGGCAACATTGTTCGATAACGCAATTACCTAAAACGATGAAGAGGTGTGTTGTAAATCGGGAAAGGTACCAAACAACAAAAGGAACATGCGAATCAATGAGCGATTGGAATTTAGTGGAGCTCCTGAGAAGTGGACATCATGTAGAGAGGACAATAAGAGCGAATAACTTCATATATGTAGTAGACGATTTCGAAATGTATGAAATGATGAAACGGATCTGTATTAGTGATACAACAGCAATATGATGATCAAAAAAAAAGGGGGGAGTGCGTTATAATGATTTTTCGATGATTTGTACTTGATTACAAGAATGACGACTTTGAAGGGAGGTGAAAATGGTTACAAACAAGCCAACAGATATAGAGTATGTGATGAAACGGTCATGATTGAAGAGTGGCCATCATGGGTTCGATCGCTCAGTCATCCACATCAAGAAGGTGACCGCGGCCGGTGCATCAACTAGTGTCGACACCTCAACATAAACTAAAAACTCAAGACTTCATGTAATTGAATTGAAACACATGAACAATAAAAAAATGATTAGCTAATTCCAAGAGACGCAGTACAAGAATGAGCTCAACTAAAGCCAGTTGAAGAGCAAGAGGGTGGATTGGAAGGATAGCTGGGGAGGGGGCCGCACGGGTCTGCTGCTTACGTGGAGAATGAAAAGTTTTTCTGGAAGCGCGCGTATTTCGGTGCGCAATGAGTTTTGCGCATTTTTGACATGGCATGTTTCAATTATTATTTAATTCATGTCAACCTTGGAGCACGATATTTTCTAGTCGATTAAGGGGAGGTCGGTCACGAGTGACTTCAATGCGGAGGGCAGGTGACCGTGAGGAGCCCCAAAGAAGAGGTGGAGAGATGTGATCAAGAAGGACCTAGGTGAAGTCACTGGCCACAGCAGAGATGCCCTGGACAGAATAAAGTGGCGACGACTGACAAAGACAGCGGACCCTGCGACTGCGCGGGACTAACGCTAGCGAGAAGAAGAAAAAGAAGCTCAACCAGCGGGATCACAGCGAACATCTACAGACCCTGTTATCGCAACAGTAGGGATGATGCAGTAATCGCTTCCTTCACATCGCTCTTTATGCAATCTGCATTGAACTGCTCGTGCTCGTGATGCCGAACGGACACGACCGCCCGCTCTGGTTTAGCTGCGCGCCCCAGTGCTAACGGAGATTAGGATAGCTCTGAATCCCTGACTGCGAAATAAGTATTCTCAAATATTTCTAACCCAAAACTCCCTGGAATTTGCAGAAATTATTCCACTTCTCAATAATTTCATTTTCCCACGTTGTCTGGAAATGCGACACACTTTGTGAAATACGTCGCCTACAGTACCCATCTCGTCGTCTGAGACGGCATTGTCAATTGGTCAGCCCGACCATTTGAAATGAGATGAAGTGATGTAGTCCAAGCACGCGTCTTGCGTCACTGATGGTGAGCTCAAATCAGTTTTCGATGGACGGTCTCCTGAAAGAAGTCACAGAAGATTTTTTTTAATAAACAGGTGAATGAAAGTTTGTTCATCCAAACTTGCCTAATTACTCATCAGGACCAAGTCACTACAACAACGTCTTATTCTTGAAGCAGCAGTATACTAGAGCACATTTTCTTATAAATTTAAACATCCTCTCTGAATTGCACCTGAATTGATGGGAGACTGCGGTTGTCCTAGTTGCAAAAAGTCTTTCTTTGTTCGCTATTCGCGCAGAGCAGCTTTGTTTTGAACATACTGTAAAAGATCATCACAGTTACTCGCGATTTATTGAAATTTTGCAGTTTTCTGTGTGTCGAAGTTTATCATAATGAATACATTCAAAAAGAAGCACGAAAAGGAAATTTCAGAATCAGCCTCTTCCAGAAAGTGTGGACGTACATCAGCAAATCGACCAAATATACAGGGGGGGGGCAAAAAAAGTCACTTTGCCCATGGCGCATATCATCAAACTTTTCGTCGCAAAGGATGCCGCTGTTATTGGGAGTTATACGGCGAATTATTCCTTAGATGTCCCCCATAAGCAGAATCAGGCCCACCTTCGCTGCTTTCACCGTCTCCAGAATATGACGTCATCTGTCATCACCGTCGAGCTCAAGGAGGCCTACCATAATCGCTCCATTCTGAAGCTGCTACATAATTCTTCAATCGGATAACTGGTGAATCTTCTTAGGGACACTAGCTCTGACTATGCAAAATGGCTTTTGACCAGCGTTTCAGAGACGTCGTAATCGTCTATGGTTTCTCGACGACCTCGTTGAGCTCGTACCGCGAACCATGTTTCCGTGGGAAAATCTTCTGATGTCGTCGGTGTAGAAAGCCCCTATGTAATTTTTTTGATAGAATAGAATGTGCTTTTCAATATGCAATTGAGCTCATTTGGTTTGGTTCCGGCAAAGTTTAATTAATTCTGTTTTGAATGTGAGTCAGAGTGACTCTTTTTTTGCCCCCCCCCCCTGTAAATAACTTTCTGGGTGCATATAAGCAGAAGCCCTGCAGAGACAGCAAGAATTCGATGCCATAGATTTCATTTAGAGACGCTCTCATAAAAAAAAAAGCTATCATCACTTCACATCCGGAGCCTCTGATCAAAAACTATCCTGATTCTTCTAAGGACGAACAGCGGGGTAATAGAGGGCGTCACATGAGAAAGCAACGGCTGAAAAATACTCATTCCTACTGTCAATACGATTCCGCGATATGAAACCAAAAATTTAGAGCCCTCGTGAACGGAATGAACGGACTAGATCATTACAAAACTGCCGTACTGACCAGTTGACATTTCACTATCACCGGAAATTACGTGGCAGTCACCGCACTCGAAAAAAAATCGCGTGGATAAGCTGTTTCCAAAATATTTCGCTTGCCGACGACTTCCATCAAAGGAGGGTTCCACGATAAGAACGAAGGTCGAAAATGGGAAACTACCCAATATAGGGACAGGCGGACCCCTAAGGGTGCGGACCAACACGCAATTCGCATCGAAGGAAATGCCTACTGGCAGAGCCTTCCCTTTGCCGCATTTGGCCGGGAACGCCCACCGACATAGCAGAGAGAGCGTTAGCGTTGAAGAGAGCACGATGAGTCGCATCAATGCGAAAATCAACGGGCAAGGAAGGGGTCCCATTTCTCGGGTTCCGGACTGTTTCACATGGTTTCATTCATCCCTACTTCACTGTTCATCGGAAAATCCGCCTTTAAGCAGACAGCAGATACTCTCAGTACACAGAACGTGGTCCTCCCCTAATTTCGAACCGGCTAGAATGAGCACTGAGCGGGCGTGGAGCACCACTTTCATCTCTCCGCCGCCTGCCAGACATCACTGATATTCCCCTGCCTGAATATCGTTGATGGATTCCTAATTGAAAAGAATTTGGTCACTAGGCAGTTCTATATGAGTTCGCTAACTACCGTACATCTTCAAGAGTGTAGAAGTAGGTATCAAACGCTAATATGGAGAACTCATAAAACATTCTATTAAAGTCTTTTAGCTCCGAAGAATAATTGTAAATGAAGTCGATAGCGATTTGGAGAGGGTTAGTGTCACGGAGGCGTTGTCTGGCTTGTGGGTGCTCCCCAGGAGGCCCGTCGCGCGGCAAGTAGGATGAGTCAGCGGACGAGTCGCGCGCGAATTAGGGAAACTGCGTCAAGTTAACTAGGATGTCCCATTGGGAGTAATCATTTTGTACTCCTACTGACTAGTATAGGGCGCCATTCGTTGCGGGACCCACTGCCTTAACCCGCGGGGATCCCATGCGATCGCGGTTGAATTCGAACATTCCAGCTTCTCACGCATGTCAAGTGACTGCCCTCACCCCCCACCCCCCTAGACTGGCGACACTGCCCCTGGCTCACGGATTCCCCGCTCCACATTGAAGGGTTCACTGTAGCAGGAGGCAGTGGGACCCGTAACGAATGGCGTCCCTTTACTAGTCAGTAGGAGTACAAAACGATGGCTCCGTCCCATTGCACGTCCTCCATCGCACATCACGCGCCGCGACACTGCCTTCTTGCCGCGCGATGGGCCTCCTGTACCCCTGGCTTGTATGAGCTCTCCCTGCGATACAGTATGAGGTCGCAAGTTCGATCATATCACTAATGTGAACTCCCTGCCTTACTTCCCCTGAACTAGCTACATTCGATCCAGCCCACGATTTCCTCGTTCTTTTCTCTACAAATGTAACAGTTCCTTGCTGAGAGCGCGCAGGCAAGCAATGCGCCCCTACCCCAACTGTTTGTTCCCCATAATAATGCCCAGATTTTAAGAAAAGCTATCATGGAGAGTAGTCTCAACAACTATTACACCAGGTGAAATATCAGAAGTGCGTTGTAAACGGTATGCATGGCAAAACCCGCTTTTGTGCTCATTGTGGCGCGTGTTCAGTCGTGGATACCATTGGAAGGGTCATAAACTCCCACCTACTCATGCACCAGCTCATATCGTTCAGTTTACATCATTACTTGTTCATTCTAGAAGATTGCAACTTGATACAAAACGCAGATAAGCAAGAGTAAAAATGATAGATAGACCGTTGTAGATTGAAGGTGCGCAGGGTGAGGTCCCACGGCGCTAGCAAGCCCATGCGGTGACGGCGCTTTCATAGCAGTGTGGGTCGCCAGGACAGAACGCAACTTTTTTTTCGCGGCGCGAAGCTTTGTTCACTGCATTGACCCAGCTCCACTAATGATTGGAACGAACCAAAGGGTCCTGCAGCGATAAAAGCTTCGCGCTTTCCTAGTGAACCACACCTCTGTCGGTCGTAAAACCGTAGCGGTGATAACGATCACACAGCATTAGATACGAACCGATCATCCGATCGCGCGACATGTCCCATCACGTCGTACGATCAATACCTACCTAATGCTGTGCAGTCGTTACGATCGTTACAGTCAGACGACCGACTATGAAAGCGCTCAACATCCGTTTACTGGATAAACGGCAAAACGGCATCAAAAAATCTCTTGACTTCCTCAATTGGCTTCCGCTGGAGCTTTTTATTATGAACTATGGTATAATCTTGCGAACTGATAACATGTAGACATCTGTTGGATTTCACGTCGATACCCGTGATCGATATTCGTACGGTTCAGCTCTTAGTTCTGAGTCTTAGCTTGAGCTTCTTACTGGAAAATCGATCTCTTCGGTTCTTGCCATACATCTGGTCGTTTTTCTTGTATGAACCGCCAGATGCAACAGCGAATTCATCAACATTACAGTTAGAGTGGAGGAGGAATGAATCATCAATTTTCATGAGACATCTTCGAAAGCTCATCTACAATTTATTAGTGCTATGTTGCGTTAGTTTACCAGATATATAGAATTTCTGCTGATGCGTCGCAATCGATTTCAATGAAGTAACATCAATTCTTCCGGAGACCTTATTATGTTGCTGCTTTATTGATAAGTTATGGACTGTCTTAAAAAAAACTTTTCTCTTTTTACTAGTGATATTTGCAATAATTTACAAGAAGAAAAGAATATTTGGGAGAAACATCCTATTACACCATCTGTGCCTCCACCCCTTTGGTATGCACGGTTATCGATCGGTATGTACGATCACCCTGAGCGCCGCGTTCAAATGATGCGCCATCTATTTCATGAGTGCTAGGTCAGAATCACTGTGTCACTGACTGTATCACTTATTACCTTCATTGTGATCATGTAGCTATCTCATTCTTTCCGATCCCACCAATTCCTACTTGCCGTTTTGCACCAATCTCGTCCTGCTGTTTGTGGATTCTTTGATGGTCCGCTTTCACTACTGAGAATATTTTTCAGGAACTTGAAGAGTAACAGGATGGTTCTTCCTTATGAAATTAATCCATATGGTGACGCTGTAGTGACTACAAAGGCTTTGTCTCGAGATGTAGTAAAAAATCGCTTCACTGAAGAAATCATCGAAACATACGTACGCTGGAAAACTGAAAGGATCAAAGGTGTTTGGGTGCATATCAGTCTGCAGGTATATGATTACATTCTCGCATAATTAGCGAGTTACAAAGGAACGTAGTTTTCCGATTATGCAATCTTGTATGCAATCTTGTAGTCATTTCTCAATTTTGCTACTTCTAAAATCTACAACTCACCGACCGGAGGCGCTAAAAATGGTGTTAACCTAGATGGGGGAGGGGCAGAGGGGGGAAGGATGGGTTAACCATGCACCATGTGCGGGCGCGACGCTCTACTTGTCTGCACGTCTGAGGTTTAGTCACTGGGACCGCTACTATTTCGTCACAACGTAGTTTCGAAATATGCCAGCACCGGCGCAGACAGAGCCTTGAGCAGCACAGAAGAATGACGCTCCATTCCGCCTCGTGGCCCTCTCAACTACGCTTTAACACCAAAATTTGGTCTCCTTCTTTCAATCTCTTGCTTTTAGTTTTTACCCATAAAAAATTGCAACAAATGGGTCTCATCCAGTAAGGGGGGCATCAAGTGGCTGCCCTCACCCCCACCCCCTAGACTGCCTACACTCCCCCTGGCGCACAGGTTTCTCGAAGTACGGGACCCCGTGAGCCAGGGGGAGTGAAGGCAGTCTAGGGGGGTGGGGGTGGGGCAGCCACTTGACGTTGCATCACAATGCCCCCCCCCTTACTGGATGAGACCCAAAAATAATGTGTTCTTTCGCTATGTCGATAATAATTATATTTATTGATTGTTTTATGAAGGATTGTCATGTGGTTTCGGATCGCGAAACTTGGGTTTACCTTCGTCCATGCAGCTACGCATGAGCTCACGATGACTCTCTGGTTAGGGGAGGAACCGTCGCGCCTACCATCGTGAGTGATCATTTCACAAATTTATTTGTCTCATCCAGTAAGGGGGGGGCATAGCGATCTAGAGCATTTCAAACCATGGAAAGCACATTATTTTATTGTAGACGTTCAGGACTAAGCCCTAGAAGGGAAGGAGTCCCCGGATCCGTGAGCAATCTTGGCTTTCCCCGGGGGACTTCCTCCCCCCTCCTGGCTTAGTCCTGACCTGCTAACTAGGTGAATTTCACTTCTCGTAGACGTTAATGTCATCTAGTACAAGAATACATACATTACACAAAACACCTGAAGAAATAACATAGGAAAAAAGCTGATAGCAGCTCGTAACTTTAAAGGACTCCTTGAGCCAAATTGGCATTAGAGCAGACCGTGCACCGCAATGCCCCCTCTTACCGGATGAGACCCTTTATTTCATTACTGAACAATTTTTCAGTTCTATATTTTGCTGTCCTCAAAAAACTGCAGGCCAAAATGCCTGTGGAGATGAGCTTTAATAGTGGCCCTCAGTTTCTTGTTCTCTTTCATGTGCAGCCGCGTACCTCACCTTGAAGAGGTCATTTTATTTGGGTCAGGGCCTGCGAGTCTGGGGGTACCTGACTCGGTTCTTTCAACTGCGTCAGTTGCTGCTCTCATCTGCTCTTCGCTAAAACCTCAGCTCATGATTACTGTGACCTCACACTCTATGAGTGTGGCTCGCTAATTCAAAATTTCGAATTTTCGCGCTTCGCGCGCAACATTTCTTGCCGCGGTAACTTCAGATCCACCCCTGATCATGAGTGTGAATGGGGTTCTTTCACTGAAAAATGTTTCGCGCTGCAAAACGCGAAAAAAACAAGAACAGCCTCTATTCTATGTCCGCCCGTGCTATAGTTTTTCCTGGCAGAGAGCACGGAGGAAAGTTCCAGAAGTTACGTAACTAGACATGAGGATTGCGATGACTGGCGATAGCGTTTACGGTGACTGGGGATAGCGGCGTGCGCGTTAGTTTTATCCTGACGCGTGAATGCTACTGTAGGAGTCACAATAACCTGGGAGCTACCGACGTCTGTGCGTCCTGCGGAGGCTGTCCACGATCATTTGTTGACAGAGTCAGCCACAAGCTAACGTGTTCCACAAGCTCTCCGTTGTTTCATTCACCCTACTGAGTGTATTAAAAATTGAGCTCATCAGGAAAGGTGAAGGGTCGAAGTGGCCATATGAAATGAGACAAATATCATGGTATGTGGTTTCGGACGCTGATCTCGAATCTTCTTCCCAAATCTGCCAAACGATTCGCTGAACGGAGTTACGGAGGTTTTTTGTTTCCCACACAGTCTTAACACAGTGAGGAGTCAGCCTAATCGGTAGTGGCATTTGAATGAAACGTTGTGGATCACTGAGAGGTGCCGTTGACCTAGGTTAACACGTTGACGACTGCGTCACCGACGACGGTCGCCTCATTGGACCTATTCCTCGTTGGACGTTGGACGTCTACTATCGTCAGTGTGTTAATTGAGCTCAGTCGGTGCGCACTTTAGACGAAACTGAGATTTTGCTCAATTCAGGAGGGGTAGGGGGCACCAAATCACTTGTTCGTGTGGAATACGGTAGGTAATTCAGAAGTGCTATGAACTCCACTTGGTGCTGCATTATGCGAAGAACAAAAGGGGATGATTTATAGAGGATAAGGAGATTCGGCGTTGCTGAGCAAGTTCTGTTGAACAGAAGTTAATTCCGCTACTGTGGGAAGTTTCCATGCACACCGAGGCACTTTCCTTCCCCCAGCTCTTTCTGAGTTCGGCGAAATCCTCATCCTTCTGGCTGGGTACCTGCAAAGTGCCCCTGCCCTTTTTACTGCAAGAATGCCATAAGTAATGTGAAATGGGCGCCATCGCAAGGTACGGGGCACTGCGGTGGCAATGTCTTCTAAACGGAATAAAGCATTGCGCTTTTGTT